TACTGACGCAGATTCCTGAAGGGGCGCATTTGAGGGACTGAACCTTTGTATATGTAGCTCAGTAATTTCCCTCTTTGCTCCCTAACTCTCCCACCCACCCCAATACATAAAAGTAATAAATGATAATAGTTTAAAACAATTCTTCTTTATCCACAGGCTCAGTAGTTGCAAGTGGGGCAGGAGTTGTAAGATTACAATATGTGTGTGGGGGTTTATGCTTTAAGCAGTCCTGGTGTTGCAGTGGAATAAGCATTGACTTGCTCACCAGCACCAACTAAATCTATTCTAGTGAGGATAGAGCCTGTTTACTTTCCAATCTTGGAGAAATCAGGAATGGTTGCAAGATACTCAAAAGGAAATATTTTTAGATGGAGAATCATTTGAAAAAATGGGAAGAAGATAAAAATGGCTTGAAGTTTTTATCCAATACTAGTATTAAAGCAAATGGTGAATTATTTTGAAATTTGGAAAGATTAATTTTCCTTATTATTATTTTTCCAGACTAACCACAGCTTCTGATTTTTCTTAAAGCATCAACATCAGGGGTTTATTTATTCTGTTATTACTTTATTCTGTTGTTACTGCAGACTCTAGCATAGCAGAGGCCTACTAAAGGCAATAATAAAAAATCCTTTTCTTTAGCCATAGCCTCTTTTGGCCCAGGCCCAGAGATTTAAGTGTTACAGGCATTAAGCACTGCCTGAGAAAGTTACTTCAGTGATTCACAGAGCAGTGCCAGGAACTTCTAGTGCTATAGAAGACTTCCCAGAAGCCTCTCTCCCACTAAGGTAAATTCATCTGGGAGGGAGAAAGATATTTCCTAGTTGATCTAGCACAGACATAGTTGGGGTACATAATTAGCCCATAAGTAGCTACAAGTGGAAAGCCAGAAGAGATCCAGGTCTGGAAGACCTTCAGTCTTAGACAAAAGGTTTAATCATCCCTTCTTTCCTGCCCCGAAGTGGAGGTGATGGTGGTTGATAAGTAGAAGAGTGCTAACATACAGGGTGTACTTGGAAAGACTGACCCAGGAGAGCTTGAGTTGGAGCAGGCTGAGGCAGGATAGAGGACGAGATGACCACACCAACACAGGGAGGCTGGGTAGGAAAGTGGGAAGCACAGGAAGAGAAAACCATTAGAAGCAAAGAAACAGGGGTTGTTGGTTATGGTAAGAATTAGAATTCGAGTTGAAAACTAAGCGGCACAGTTGCTCTTCTTCCGCACATGTTGGTATTCACTCCCATCTTAGATCTCTTGACTCTCAGGAAGGAACTGATGTTTTACAGCATATTTTTATAGTTTATAATCAGGGGAAGTATTGGAATCAAACCCAGTTTAAGACAAGTAAATCTTCTCTTTAAAGTACCCCTCATTTTGGATTACATGGTAGAGCCACAAGACTCCGCGATTTTCAGGCTTCATAAATCAAGGTAAGGCTTGGTTAGAACCACTGTAAAACCCTGTGTCATCCCTACCAGAGCACAGTGCGTGAAAAAACAGTTCAGAGCCCTCTTTTTAGACACTTTACTCTGTGTATGAATGGAGAGTCAGTGGGCATTTAACCACAAGTTTTTAGAATTCCTTAGTTTCAGGTATCTACCATGAGAGTGCTGTGCTGTGGATACATGAAGGGAAAGAGAATAGAACAAATCTATTCGAGTGAGGTTAAAGGCTGGAACTAATAGCAAAAGCTCATAAAGATGTGGTTGCAAATTACAATAAGTGCAACGCACAAGACCTTTTAAAAATGTTGAAGAGCAAAGATGTCAGCTTGAGTATGAAGGTGCGCCTAACCCAAGCCATGGTATTTTCAATAACCTCATATGTATGCGAAAGCTGGACAGTGAATAAGGAAGACTGTAGAAGAATTTATGCTTTTGAGTTATGGTGTTGGAGGATAATATTGAAAGTGCCATGGACTGCCAAAAGAACCAACAGATCTGTGTTGGAAGAAGGGCAGCCAGAGTGCTCCTTGGAGGCCAGGTTAGCCAAACTTCATCTCTCATATTTTGGACATACCGTCAGGAGGGACCAGTTGCTAGAGAAGGATATCAAGTTTGGTAAGGTGGAGGGTCAGAGAAAATGAGGAAGACCCCCAGCTAGATGGATTGGCAAAGTGGCAGCATCCGTGGGCTCAAGCATAGCAACAATTGTGAGATTGGCCCAGGACCGGGCAGTATTTCGTTCTGTTGTACATAGGTCGCTATGAGTTGGTACTGACTCTATGGCACCTAGCAACAACAATAAATGGAGGAAAAGTCCAGAGTGGTGATGATAGAGCCTAGACGGAGGTCTTCTTTAGGCTGGGACTAGAGGACTATGGAGAAGTGACTTTTTAATGTGGGACCTGAGGTGGTGCAGAAGACTGAAGGAAAGTGTTTCCAGTCAAAGGGGAAAGGATTTGGCCTTTGAGGATCAGTAGCAAGGTCAGCAGTGATCGGACTCTGTGCATGAATGAGATGGTGTTTTCTTCTGCTCCACTGCTATCATGCCTCTAAGCCACCTCTGCCCTCTGCACTTGTGTAGGCATCTCCTGGCTTGTCTCTGCCCCTGGGGCCCCATCTGCTCTTCTTTCCCATCTCCACCCTCTTGCTCACTGTCTTTTAGGCACATTGGCCTAGCTTCCACTCAAGAACATCAAGCCTTTCCAAGATTGTTTCAAGGCCTTTCTCTCTGCCAGGAATCTTCCCATAGATGTTTGCATGGTTTACTCCCTCATTTTAGTCTGGTCTTTGCCCAGTTGTCACCTCTGCATGGGTGTTCCACCTTAAAAAAAAAAAAAAAAAAAGTCTCCTTTAATCTGTTTTATTTTTCTTCCCAGGACTTTCCTCTGTGTGATATTATACTATCTCTCTATATACTTTGTTTGTTTGTTTGTCAGCCTTCCTCACCAGAATGAAAACTCTAGGTTGTCTGGACCTTGGTTATGTCCACTGATATACATCCCTAGAACCTAGGTCAATACCCAGCAATAAAAGATGCTTACTAGAGATTTGTGAATGAAGCAAGTTAAAATATGAGCTTATGTTAAAGAAGGGCCTAGGAAGAATGAAGTCTTGTGAAACTTGTAAGGATTTTGCATTTATGTTAGGGGCAGTGGGAAGCCATTACAGGGTTTTAAGCAGGAGAGTGACAAGATGAGGGCAAGTCTGGAGAACTTGTTTGACTTGGAAATAGAGGGTAAGGGAGATGGAGCTGTCAGGGATAACCCCAGGTTGCTATGGAAATGGATAGATGGGAGTGGTACTTGCTGAGAGGTGTAGAGTTGAGATGGTCTTTGTGTGTGGAAACTCAGAGCTCAGTGTTGTTTGAATTAAGTATGAGATGTCTAGGAGACAGCCAGAGGAGTGTATCAAATAGGGCTACAATGTACAGGGCTGAAATGTCACTAGAGGGTAAGTGTGCATTTTCCTAGTGGCCAAAGTGGGGCTGCGCATCCCATACCATGGGATAGGAATCTCAGTGGCTTTGATTGTTTGCTCTGTGGAAAGGCTTGCAGAATGAGAGTATCACTGAAATCCTAGGAAGCTTTTTACTCCATGCTGGCTAACATTTCCCAGGTCACAAGCAGCCTATGCTCTTCATTGAGGGTAAGCAGAGGAGCCTAGTTTTTCTCCTGACTGATTTACTAGTAATTCACTGGCTGCTCCCCAATTACTGGCAGGATGACCTTGGACAGTGAAGCTTTGTGAGGTCTAGTTTTTCCAACTATAAAAGAGCCGTACTAATGAATATTCCCTAAAGTCAATGGTTGGAATCCTGGTATGGCATTGTGCATTAATGTGCTGCACTGCAAAGTTGTTTGAACTGCAAAGTCAGTGGTTCAAACTCACCAGCCCCTCCTCAGAAATCCTATACAGGATTGTTATGGGTAGGAACTGATTGATAGTACTTAACAACAATAAAACAACAACAAAGACAGTGGCTATGGGATTCTGGTAGCATAGCGGTTACAAGTCAGGCTGCTAACTTCAAGGTCAGCAGTTCGAAACTACCAGCTGTTCCATGGGAGAACGATGAGGCTTTCTGTTTGCATAAATATTTACAGCCTTGGTAACCCTATACAGGGTCGCTGTGAGTCAGAATGGACTCCTCAGTATACCACCACCACCACTACCACCAAAGGTACTGAGTGGTTAAGTGATAGCATTCTTACCTTCTATGTGGGAGGCAAAGGAGCTTTGGTAGCATAGTGGTTATGAATTCAGCTGCAAACCGCAAGGTCAGTAGTTCGAAACTACCAGCTGTTCCACAGGAGAAAGATAAGGCTTTCTGCTCCCGTAAAGATTTACAGCCTCGGAAACCCTGTGCAGGGTAGCTATGAGTCGGAACCGACTCCACGGCGCATCACAACAACAACAACATGTGGGAGGCTTGGGTTTGATACCTGGTTCGTGTGCCCTGAGTGCAGCCACAGTTATTTGCCAGTGGAGGCTTGTGCACTGGTGTGATACAAACATAACAATTGTCAGGATAGTGTAGGACCAGACACTATTTTGTTTGGTTGTGCATAGGGTCATTATAATTGTTGACTTGTCAACACCCAACAACATAATTCCAAGCAGTTTTAGCAGAGCTTTCAGAATAAGATGAAGTAGGAAGAAAGTCCTGGTGATCTCTTTCTGAAAATCAGTCACTGAAAACTGTGTGGATGGCAGTGGTCTGATCTGCATCCTGTGCACAGAATCCTGCAGCATTTTGTTAATTGTGTGTGGGGTCAACCATGAATAGGGGGAGGAGTGAGAGTTGGTGGCATCTAACAAGAAGGGTTTTGGTAATGATTAAGTGAGCAAGCAAAGCTTTATGCAGAAAACATAATTAATAGCTATTATTTTTTATTTTTATGGATAGTGACATACACTTTCAGCTTCAGCATACCCCCTTGTCCCCCCATCTTCTACATTACAATCACATTTGCAGGCTCTCCTCCTCCCAGGAAGTCTAAGCCTGATGACTTTTCCCATGGACACCTCCCTTGAATAGCTGTGTCTCTCTTTCAGGATATCAACCAGAAACTCCAAGAGGACAACCAGGAACTGAGAGACCTCTGCTGTTTCCTGGATGATGACCGGCAGAAAGGCAAGAGGGTTTCCCGGGAGTGGCAGAGACTGGGCCGCTACACGGCCGGCGTGATGCACAAGGAAGTGGCCTTATACCTGCAGAAGCTGAAAGAGCTGGAGGTGAAGCAGGAGGAGGTGGTGAAGGAGAACATGGAGCTCAAAGAGCTCTGTGTGCTGCTGGATGAAGAGAAGGGTGCGGGCTGTGCCGGCAGCCGCTGCTCCATAGACAGCCAGGCCAGCCTTTGCCAGCTTGCGGCCTCCACCGCGCCCTACGTGAGAGATGTGGGTGACGGCAGCAGCACCTCTAGCACAGGTAGCACTGACAGCCCTGACCATCATAAGCACCACGTGAGCAGCGGCAGCCCTGAGCACCTGCAGAAGCCCCGTGGCGAGGGCAGCCCTGAGCACTCAAAGCACAGGAGTGCCAGCCCTGAACACCTACCAAAACCCAGGGCCTCTGGGACCCTTGATCATCCCAAAGCTCTCAAAGGACCCAGCCCCGAGCACCACAAACCCTTGTGTAAGGGCAGCCCGGAACAGCAAAGGCACCCACACCCGGGAGGCAGTCCCGAAACACTGCCCAAACACGTCTTGAGTGGGAACCCTGAACACTTCCAGAAGCACAGGCCAGGGAGCAGCCCTGAGCATGCCAGGCACAGCGGAGGGAGTCCAGAGCATCTGCAGAAACATGCCCTCAGTGGGAGCCTTGAGCATCTTCCCAGAGTCAGGGGCACCAGCCCCGAGCATCTCAAACAGCATTATGGGGGAAGTCCGGATCACAAACACATGGGAGGTGGAGGCAGCGGCAGTGGCGGCGGCAGCAGTGGAGGCAGCAGGGAAGGCACACTCCGCAGGCAGGCCCCAGACGACCTGTCACCCCATCACCGGAGCATCTACAGCAGCATGAACGGTGGGTCAGTAGTGCTGGGGATCTTTGTCTCTTGAGAGTTCTGAATGGTGAAGGACATTCCAAACATATTAGAAAGTGCCTGAGGAAGTGGGGGTGTGTGTGCAAGAAGAGAAAAAGTTTGCCCCAAATCATGTGTTTTTTCTCCTTTACTTGTTTTTAATTTATAGTTATCAGTAATCTTGGAGAAGTTTGGGGATGAGGGTTTAGAGGAGGAAGAGAAACATAGGACCCTGGGTAGTCAGGGCACAATCTGTGTGTATTGAAGGTACAGTAGAGCCATTTCACCATTCTTCCATCTTGAATTTGAGCATTTTCTGAGTTGTGTGCAATTTCCTTCTAGGGTTCATTTGTGAAATGGTGACCAAAAGATTTTTGAATCTAGTTAATAGTGTAAATGCAAGAAAGAATGAATATTTATTGTGAAACACTATAACAACTTAAAAAAAAAAAGGAATATTGTGTTTCTAAATAGTCTTGATGTCTTTTGTCTGAATGCCTGTCAGTATGCCTTACTGTACCTTCAGGGTTTTCCCACCATTGTTATGGGGACCAGAGCATGGTTACGGGACTAGGAATATTATTTTTCTTTAGGTTTCAAATGCATCAAAAGTTTACCTTGTCTACTCACTCAGAATCCACCCACCCCTTCACTAAACTCCCTCAAATATATTCTGAATACTGTGTATTTTTTCCATTACAATAGATGACCTCTTTTCCCTTTATGCTGTTTAAAAGTACCTCTTTAAAATATACAGATATATTTGCATGTTCCTAAGTATAATGACTTTGCATTTACTGAGGTGGCTCTGAACCTCATTGCATCTCCTTTTGGAAGAGCCTTAATTTTCTACATATTGGTCCTGAAACCTCTTTAAACTCAAGAGAGAGGAAAAAATGGCTTCTTCAAAAAATAAATAAATCACACCATCCTTTTAAATTACCTGTGGTTGAATTAGAGCTAAAATGATTTGTATTATAAAAATGTGGGTTTTTTTCCATTCAAAATATCTGAGGTTTTTGCTACTCAAAAGCGCTGTGTGTCTCTGCAGTCAGCTCTGAGCAGTGCTGGAGGAGGCTGCCAATTTTAGCAGTCACATGAAGGGGTTCATTTTCAATATTGTACTTGGGGATTTACCTGTTGGATGCCATTTCATCCTAATCCTCTTCTCATAGTGCTGAAAACTGACTACTGAAGCTTGACTTCGAATGCATCCAATGTTCTTTTAAACACAGATGGAACTAGAGAGAGTGAGAAAGATGGGAAGATACTGCTTTCTCAGTTGTTTCTATTGGAAGGTGGAGGCTGAGAGAAGCCAATTCACCTGTGCCAGATTGAGTGAACCTTCACTCGCTCCTTCCAAGAGCAATGGAGATGCTGCCCCAATTGCTGTGGGCAGCCTGGGCGGCTACTCAGTTGTCTACAAGAGATGAAAGTCATTTAAAAAGATATTTGGTTGCATGTGACAATCATAAGATGGGCCATTGGCCATGAAGCTTATCTTTAGGGGATAATGACTTTTCCATTTCTTGATTACTTTTTAATGAGCTTAGGAAATCAATATAGTAGCGTACTATTTTAAGAAAACTTTGTATCTTGAACCAAAAAGAAAACACTTAGGAGTTGGTGGTTCACCTATAAAACCATTCTTTTCTCTACAAAAGAGTTTTTTTAAAATAAAGAACTCCTTTGATTTAATCAGTGTATTATTTCACTTACAAGGAAAGCTTTTAGGTGTGACGTTTGAGCAATGCTTTGCAGAAATTAAGGTGTATCTCTAGATACGGATGGCATTACGTATAGCTTATTTTTGCTTGTATTCACATAAATTTAATGAATCTGGCAACTGTTTCTTATGATTTGATAACTTTATTTAGTTAAAACTTTGATATAACCTAGATGCATTATGAAAGAATGATCTAGTAGTTTAATTCTTGTGTCTACTTCAAGTATTCTCAGCCTAAGTGACAATTCTTCTGCTGAGAGTTGTTCTCCTCACTGAGTATATTTGTAGTATATTTGCTGTGTATTTTTATTTCATTGCATTTTGTTAATTGGAAAATGAAGTGGTACAATGAGATGTTTATGGATCATTAGCCTATAATCTTGGGCATTGGGCATCAGTAGCTTGTTTTTATCCTGCCGTTACAAATTAATTTTTGATATGGATGATAAGACATGCTTTTTCATATTTTTAAATCCCCACACAATTTATTTGAGTCATTGGTTTGTGAACAGATAGGAAACAGTAGCGAGGTAATTCCAAATTGCAAATATTTCAAGAGTCATTCTGGTTGAGGTTGTTTTGAGAGCTGAGTGTTTTGGATGAGCACTGGCATTTCTTTTTCATGAACAAAAAGCAGTTGGAAGCAAATGGAGAGAAAAAAGCAGATTAAATACAAGAGGTCTTCAGAACATCCTTGGAAAAATGGAATGAAAAGATAATGGAATTGTCCTACCTCTACGTATGTATATTTCCTTCCAGTACACATACACACATATACACACTGAGGGAATATCAGTGAGAAGATTGTTGTCTTAGTGCTGCATTGAGCATCTTTATATCCTGTTGTACTTTTATTTACAAAGTAGCTGATTAACTTTTGTCCAAGATTTTCCTTTGGTTAAACTAGTTGGCTCCTCTCTGACTGAAATTTAAAGATGAATTTCATTTTTTCTTCTGTTAAAAAAATCTAAGTCCTAATATTCATTTCTTAATTAATAATTGATTAAAAAATAAAGGCAAAAACAAAACAAACAGAAAAAGAAAATCTTCCCTTAGGTGATCAAAATACTCATGAATACATTTATTGTTTTAGGAATTATTATTCAATTATTTTTTTTCCCAATTTGTAGAGCTCCATTTGTAAATATAAAGTCATTTCAACACATCTTTAGACATTAAGGCATTCTTTCTACTCAATAAAGTTGCTTGTTGTATTTCAGATTTGTGAATAAAGTAATTGAATAGTCTCTTATAGCTATAAATTGCTCTGACTAAAAGCCTCATTTTTTGAGAATGGGGAGTTCCCTCACTTGATTCCATTTAAATCCAGGATTGGGTTGAATTCTTTTTAGATAAAAGTGCCACCTTCCATCATGAAACGAAGGAATTTTGCTACCTGGTATCAGCGGGCAGACACTTGATGTTTTAAAAAATTATTATTATTATTTTTTTATTTAAGGTTTTTATTGTGGATTGAGTGAAAGTTTACAGGGCATACCATCAGTTTTACATTCAACAAATCATACACCTTTTTTCATTACAATGATTATAATCCCCTCCATGTACCATCAGTTAACAGTATTTTGTTCTATCCACTTTAGCTTTTTAAAAAACAAACAAACAAAAAAAAAACCACTCAGGCATATATAATAATTTACATCTCTAAAGGGCACATTCTGCAAGTCAGCCTCCTGGCCACCAGCTCTTAGTCCCTCTCTTCTTAGTCCATGAATCTAGCGTCCTCAGCCACTCCCCCTCTCCATGCCCCCATCTCTGCCTCCATCTCTGGTGCTGTGCTTCTCTGGATAAGGTCCCGCATTCTGCTTGTGTGCTTCTCTCTTGATGATCCTAGGGTCCTCTGTTTTTGGACTGTATAAAATTAACCACTCCCCTGTTTTTGTTACAGATACTTGCTTTTTTGACAGATAGCTTTTACCCTATACAGGGTTATCAGAACCGACTCAATGGCACATAACAAATGGTTTTATAAATGATTGACTCATGGAAACTCATTGTGTTAAAGAGTAGAATTGCTTCATAGTTTTGTTGTTGTTTTTAATGTGATTTTATGGAAGCAGTTCATCAGGCCTGTCTTCTGTGATGTCTCTGTGTAGGTTTGAACCATCATTGTTTAGGTTAACAGCTGATTCCAAATGACTTGTACTGCCAGGCCTTAGCCTCTGCCCACTAGCAATTCTCCATTTGTGATAATCCAAGATGTCTCCAGATATTGCCAGAATTCCCAGGGAGGACAAAGTACACCCTGTTGAGTATCAGCCACTCTAAAGCAGTGATTTTCAACCTGTCTGCATATTAAAATACAGTGGTCATTTGAAAAAATACCAGTGTTTGGCCCCCACAATCAGAGAGGCAAATTCAGTTGGTTTAGTCTGGCACAGGTCTTGGGCATATTTTAGAAAGGGCCCTAAGGAGCTTCTAATGAGCAGCCCAGCATGAAAACCACTGCCTTAAAAGAGTGACAGGAAGCCATGGTGATAGAATGGTGAAGCGCTTGACTGCTAACCAAAATGTTGGCTGTTGAAACCCACAAGCTCCTTCCCAGGAGAAAGATGTGGCAGTCTGCTTCTGTAAAAATTTATAGCCTTGGAAATCCTCTGGGGCTATTCTACTTTGTCTCATAAGGTTGTTATGAATTGGAATTAACTCGAAGGCAGTGACAAAAGGAGTGGCTGACTGTTGAACAACACAGTGCCAAGGAATTTTCAAGCACCCAGGCTTCCTGTGAAGAGTTAACTCCACCCTTCCTTTGCTACATTCCAGGGTGCAGTGTGAGAAAAACTGAGGTTAGTGACAAACATCACTTCTCCTATCTCTGGACAAGGCTGTCTGATAACACACCACTTTGGAATAGGTTCAACATTTGTGTTTTTAATGGATAGGATTGGTAGATTACTTTGGAAAGAGTCTAGTATATGAGTGGCTTACTTTTTTTGTTTGACTGTTTTACTTTCTAAAACCTCATCCAGATGGAAAACGGAGAACATGGGTTTGTAACTCATTTACAGTAGAAGTGGATGGTGGGATCCTACAATGCCTACAATGCAAATAAGTATTTCCTGTGAGAAGGATACTGCATTTCAAATCTCCCACTTTATCGGATTTACCCTGAGGTTTAAAACTGCTCCTTATTCTCTGCTGAGGTTACTAATGTGTAAACAAAAAATGCTGATAACACAAAATGGCCTTGTCTAAGATAACCTGTATGTGGAAGAAGCCAGCAGGATCTCTCTGAAGCATGTCTGTAAATTAAATAGT